TCTTCGTTCCTCTGGGGTCTCACAGTCTTCGCTCCTCTGGAGTTCCGTGGTAGGTGGCTGGCTGTTGTTCTTCCCGGGTCTCTTCCAGGTCCCTCTCACAGTGGAACCCCGTCTGGCGGCGGCGTTCTCCCGTCTGCACTCATGCTTCTCACATTCCATTTTCCAATTATCAGTTTCTGCTTACAACTGTTCCTCTTCCTTTGTGTTTCCAAGTTTGAGGGCTCTGCCTCAGTCGTCATATCTGTTAGTCTACTCTGCCCATGCTCTGCTGGACAAAGGGTTTTTGAAGGCCTGATACATTTCAGAAATTGATGGCCAATTCTTCTTCCTCATCTGTCTTAATTTGGATGCTTAGTTTTAGAGCAATACCTGACAGATAAGCATTTTACCTCAAAGGAGCAGATACTCATTGCCTCTCTGCCCGCCTCCCAGCCCTGGCAGCTGCTAGTCTCTATTTCTGTAGACTTGCCAGTTCAGGACATTTCCATGTGGAAATCATACATGTAGTCTTTTGTGTCCCATTTCTTCCACTTTGAAAAGTTTTGCTATTATTAATTTTAATGAAAGTTTACATATACTTTGGATTTCCACTCATTCATTGTTGCACTTTTCTCCCTGCCCACCCTTCCACCCCAGTTTGCCCTTCTCTTTGAAAAGTAAAAGAAAATTTCTTTCATTGTTATGCGATCTCTCCCCCCAGGTCCACTCCACTTTGCAGCCTTTGCTCTGGTCTCCTCTCATGACAATAATACCTAATCATATATCCCTTTTAAACTGTTCTCTCCACCATCTGTTTCAATGCAGTATACATAATTTATCCCATCTTTCTCAGTTTTCCCCAAACCCAATGTCAGTTCCGTTTTATAACAGTGGCACTATGCAGTATTTGTCCTTTTGTGACTGAGATATCTCACTCAGCATAGTGTCCTCCAGAGTCCCCATTTTGTATAGTATTTTATGAGTTCCTTGTTTTTCAATGCAGCGTAGTATTCCATTGTGTGAATATACCAAAGCTTCTCTAGCCATTTGTTTGTTGATGAGGACTTGGGTTGTTTCCAACTCTTTGTTATTATGAACAAAGCTGTGATAAACATGGTTGTGCATATATCCACTTGGGTGGCAATTGTGGTTTCATTAGGGTGTATTCCCAGTAGTAGAATTGCTGGGTCAAATGGTATTTCTATTTGCAACTTTTTGAGAAAGCACCATACTGCCATCCTTAGTGGTTGCACCATTTTACACTCTCACCAACAGTGAATAAGGGTTCCAGTTTCTCCACAACCTTGCCAGCATTTGTTGTTTGCTATTCTGTTACATTTTGCTATTCTTACTGGGGTGAGATGGTATCGAGTAACTGTTTTGATTTGCATCTCTCTTAGAGCTAAGGATTTTGAACATTTCTTCATGTACTTGTTGGACATCTGAATGTCTTCTTTGGTGAAGTGTCTGTTCATATCCTGTGCCCATTTTGTGACTGGGATGTTGACTTTTATCTTGTTGTGGTGGTATCATAGTTTTCAAGGTTTGTCCACTCTGTAGCACACATGCTTCAGCTTCATTGTTTTTAACAGTCAAAATCATATTTCATAATACTGATGCACCATGTTTTGCTTATCAGTGTATCCACTTACAGACATGTGGGCTGTTTCCACCTTTTGGCCCTTGTGAGTAGTGCTTGTGTGAATATTTGTGTACAAGTATCTGTTAGAGTACCTGCTTTCGGTTCTTTTAGGCATATGCCCAGGAGTGGAAAAGTATATAGTCATATAGTAGTTCTGTTTTTAGCTTTTTTCTAGGAACTATCAAACTCTTTTCTAAAGTAACTGCTCCTTTTACATTCCCACATAGAGTGTGCAAAAGTTCTAACTTTTCCACATCTTCACCAATACTTGTTATTTTTTATTTATTATGATCTTCTGAGTATAAGAGTTCTGGTGGCCTAGTGGTAAGAAGCTATGCTCCAGTCCCAGGTCCACAGTTTGAATCCACCAGCTGCTCTGTGTGAGGGGCAGGGCAGTCTCTTGTGTGACTTACTACCTCTGAAAACCTGCTGGAGGTTCAGTTATGGGTTGGTTCCTACTGAATAGCACAAGAGAACAACAATAACATCTAAGTGGACAGATAGATCGTTTTGATTTTTATTTCCTGACTAATGATGCTGAATATATTTCTCAGTGTTTTTGCTTCCCGAAGCTTTTAAGGCAAGGGAGTGAGGAATAACTGTGGGAGAAAGAGAGGAACCCAGAGCCAGAGTGTCTGTCAGGGACAGAGAGGCTGCGAGCTCGTAATTTTTTTTTTTAATTTTTTTTTGGTAATTTTTT